AACATTATATACTTACAAATTCTGTTATTATTAATATGATTTTTTTAGGTTAATTTGATTCTTTATTCTTAATGAGTATGTCTTTATAGTTATTATATAACTTTGATATTGAACGCTATTGAGAGGTGTCAATAAAAAAACTTTAAACATGCGCAATTGGGTTGTTCAATATTTCATGTTGAGAGTGTATTAACAGGCTAGCTTACAGAATATACATTGTGGTAGGGTAATTGGGTAAAGGGTGGATCTTTTCAATTTGACTTTTGCGATACTTTAGTTGAATAGCTGTGAAAGAATGGTCAATGATCAATAGCAAAACTAAATTAACTTCAGTCCTTAGTTCCTTGTGTTGATTAAAATGCATGCTGCTTACAAAACTCGGTGCATAAATTAATTTGAGCTTCTCACTGGATTTTCTAATTCCGCTGATTGATTTGTGTCAGGTGTTCCATTTATACTAAAGGCAGGGAAAGCTTTGAATTCAAGAAAGGCGGAGATACACATTCAATTTAAGGAGGTTCTTGGGGATATATTCCAATGTATGACAGTAGATCTATAAGATTATTGGAACTTCATTTATATGATTGCTTGTTTCAGTAGAGCTGCAACTCTTTTGAAGTATTCTGACATTTTATTTAGGTCAAAAGCAAGGAAGAAATGAGTTTATCATACGCTTGCAACCTTATGAAGCGATGTACATGAAACTAACAGTGAGTTCGCTTAACTCATCGTATCCATCTGAAAGCTATTAGAGCTATAATTTCCATGTATGCAGAGTTTCCTGCTTGTAGAGTTTCCTTTATGCATCAAGAGAAATCAATAAGTTCTGCTATTTCTGTCCTAAATTTGAACATAATATATTTCAGAGCCAACAGTTACCTTTTCACATAATCATACATCTTCAGTTGTCGATCGTACATATGTTCCGATTCTCCTTGTGGAAACCTTTAGGCACTGTTGAGAACCAATCCTGAATACTTGATGTCCCTTCTTCATTTTATCATATTTTAGAAACATCCATATCGATGTTCTAGATTTTACTGATATTCGAAGTGGTGTTATATGAAAACTGCTCATGCAGCCAACCATGAGTGTCAGGATCCTGCGTTTTTAGTTTAAGCTAGGAAACCGTTGCTATAATTTATTGCAAGATCTTTATGCATGTATGCTGATTTGCATTTTGCTTATGTTGTAGGTGAAGCAGCCTGGTCTGGAGTTCTCAACGGTGCAAAGTGAACTGGATTTTTCATACAGGCAACACTATCAAGGTGTTACGATCTCAGAAGCTTATGAACGTCTTATTCTTGACACGTACGATCCTTGCCTTTCCTGGTCGTCGAAATATTCTTATTCATAATCCTTTAATCTTCCTGCTTGAAACGAAATGCATCATTTTCATCTGAGCTTCAAACAATAGGGTTTAAGGTGCTGAAGTGATGATCGATGGAATCTGTTTATCGTTATGTAGGATAAGGGGTGATCAACAACATTTTGTACGTAGAGACGAGTTAAAGGTAAGAATTTGTGATATGTATGCTTGGGAAGTTTAACCATTTGCGACCATTTTCATACTTGTGTTGGGATGTTGGTTGTATTTGATATGTTTAACCATCAGTTGAAGCTCTCTGTTATATGCATGTGAGCTTATTTGCAACTATTTGGTTTATATCTACCTGTAAATATTTGTTCCCTGTTATTATTGTATTTTACGTTTTCAACTTTGTTTTGACATGGCAACTCTCTTTTCTTGTGTTATAACTTTAATAATTCAATCAATATGTCTTTGACAGATACACCCAGTTATGCTAGATGTTGGTACTAACAATCTAAAGCTAATTGACAACCCACTTTGTGAGTAAAAAATGTATTTAATTACTTTGTTCTTATGTAGTTATTCCCTGCATAGACTAGAACATATGAAATGCTTTCTGTTACCTTTTTTAACAGATTGTTAAGATTTCTTTTGACTTTTTTTTGGGTTTGTACAGATTTAGGACTAAGACAACCTAGGTTAGAAGGGGAAAAGTATCTATCAATTATTGATGAGTTCATTGAAGCAGTTTTAACACGTTGGCCTAAGGCTATTATACAGGTTTCTTTCTTTCAGAAGTGAGGTTTTATTTTATGCTTGTAGCGTGATGTTTATTTAATGGCTTCCCCATTCAGGATTCCACATCATAATCACTGTGTAGGAAGGCCATTTTAATCTAGGAAAACTTAGTTTAGATTTCTGGAACGATTTAATTGCTTAGGTATCCTATGCTTTGGCCTGCTCTGAATAGTACTCACAGTTTTGCATCAAAAATTGTGGGTTGATATCGAAAGTTATGGCGTTTAATTTGTATTTTCTCAAAACTTGTTCTTTTATCTTACAGTGTTAAATTTTGTTCACAGACACCATATTTGCTTACGGCGTGACAAGCAGTGGGAAGACTCATACGATGCATGTAAGAAACAATTTAATACTTCGTTATCTGTTTCAAGTGAAGCATTGAAGCGCGCAAGGAGTCTTCTTGGTGAACCGGAGCCAGGGGATTTATTTGGTGAATTTCTAGTGAATAGTATTTTTTTAATTGAAAGTGAAAGTATCTAGACTAAATTCTAAATAACAATATCAAACTACATTACTTTTAATTTTAATGTTTATAAATTTTAATTTATTTTGTTTAAATTTATGGTTGATGTCAATTAGATAAAGCTACATGATAATAAATTTAGGTGATGTAGAGAAGAAATGAAATATGCAAAATATAAATTAATCTTAGAACAAGAACGATAATTAGCGGCGTTTGCATCCAAAAACGCCGCTATAGATCTGAAATTTTACGGCGTTTATTCCAAAAACGCCGCTATAAATCTGACCTTTTGCAACGTTTTCTCCAAAAACGCCGCTATAGATCTGACATTTTGCGGCGTTTTCATAGAAAACGCCGTTATTGATCTCGACCTATTGCGGCGTTTGTTCCAAAAACGCCGCTATAGATTTGACCTTTTGCGGCGTTTTCTCCGAAAACGACGCTATAGAGCTCGACTTATTGCGGCGTTTGTTCCGAAAAGCGCCGCTATAGAGCCGACCTGTTGCGGCGTTTTTTTAGAAAACGCCGCTATAGATTTAGACCGATTGCGGCATTTTTTTCCCACAAACGCCGCTAACTTTAGCGATGCTAGTATTGCCGGCGCTTCTTACGGCATTTTTGCTATCGCCGCGTGTGCTTTTAGCGGCGCTTAAAAACGCCGCTATAATACTTAAAAAACGCCGCTAAAGAACATTTTTGTTGTAGTGGCGGTGGGTTAAAGAGGCTGAGAAACTGGGTACTAGTTTGAGCTCGTCTTCGTGGGCCAACTCTACTACTACCACAGATCACGCTTACTCTATTGCTCAGTATGATCCACCGTTCCATCTTTTTAGCAGACTCAATGAAGTGGGTGGATGTTGATGCTTCAATTTTTGCTGGAAAAGCTACTTTTTGAAAGATTATTAACAAGGTTGGGTTCTTGTGCGTGAAACTGAAACAATATTTGAAAACTTAATCATATTGCATTATGATTGGTGTTATTATAACGCTAAAACTCTGTCTATCATTAATGTAATCTAAACGCATGTTTAAATATATATATATATATATATATATAGGTCTAAAGTATTATGATTTAACTCCTCGTTTTTTTTTTTGGGTCAATTCAGTATTTTATTTTGCAAATCTAACATATTTTTGACCTTTTCAGTAGTAATTCCAATCGATCAAAGGTAAGCAATTTGAATCGGGTAATTTAAATTTTAATTTTCGCAATTAAAGACAACCGAAAAATCAATTGGTACCTAAAGGGCGGTTCAGAGGTGCTAATCTTTCCTTGACCGTAACCGACTCCCGAACCCGACATATTTCTGGTAAAATGCAGATCAGGTAATATGGTGTCCGACCCGCCTAAATTCATTTTAAAATGGTCGGTGACGACTCCAATTCATTTAATTTAAGTCGAATCCCAATTTCGAGTCCAACCGAAAACGATTCCGACAATTAGTATAAAAAACATTTAAAACAAGGAAATCCGTCACTTTCTCTGGAAAAAAAAGTGAAAAAGGCAAAAATGAAATTAAAAAGAATATTCGTGTTTTTAGGTTGGCGATAGAGAAACAACTTTTCCCAATAATCCACCATTTCCTCCTCCATTTTGGTTCTTTGATAAATTAAAGGTTTAATTATAAAAATATTTAAATTATACTTTTTTATCATTTAAGTGATTAAATTTTATTGGTCAAAACAAGTGTATAATGTTTTTGACATTATCAATTTAAATGTCTATCTGTTAAAAAAATAAATTTAAAAAAAAATTCACAATTTTTAAATAATCCAAATTTTCCTATTTTTTAAAAATATCTTAAAAAATCATAAAACTCCAAAATACTAAAAAAATCCCTAATCTCAAAATCAATTTTGTTGCAGACAACCATCATTCACCAATCACCCTACAATCCAATTAGGATTGAGATTTGAGTATTTAGGTTTAGGGATTTAGGGTTTAGATTTAAGTATTTTAAGGATTGATGTTATGACAAGAGATGATCTATAGACAGTAGATAGATAAGCGGTAGGGACGAAACCAAAATTTATTAAGACGAATTTAAAGTAGTTTTTATTTTTTATAAATATAAATTTTTTAATTTAAAGGACATAATTTTTTCTCTATTTATTTTCTAAAAAATATTTCTTAATATTAATTAACAATTAAAATAATTGACGGGGCAAAGCCTCCTCTTGGCCCCATGAAGATCCGCCAATGATAAGTTGTTAGTAAGGGTAACAGTAGCGGGGGACGATCGACGACGAAGATGATACATTAAGATTAAGAATTTTGGGATTTTTTAAGATTTCAGATAAATTTTTGAGTTTTTTAAATTTAAAAGTAAAATTTATAAAATTTGAAATTTTAGATAAAATTTTTAAAAATCTATAAATACATAATATGTCTCATTTTGAATGATTGACAGAAACATTTTAATGATCATACTGGATCATGAAGTTACAATAATAACATCGAAAACGATGAACATCTATTTTGGAAAAAAAAAATCTGCTAGGCAGTTTCCGTCAATTCGAACAACAGCGGGGGTAATACGTCCTCCGCCGCCGCCATCTCGGCTGATACGCAGTCCGCGTTGAGGCACAACCCTGGCATCTCCCTCGATTGGGATCCTGAAGAACAAACGATGCTCGAAGATTTGCTCGTCAAGTAAGCTCCCTCTCCTCCTTTATTGCTTCATTTTGTTACATCTTTTATCGTTTTGTTTCTTTCGTTTCTTTTACTGGACGGAACTCGTTACTCACACTTGTTATGCTTCACCTCATCTTAATTTAATAAGCATTAAAGAAACTGGAAATACTATTGTTTACACATTAATTATTTTGATTTTCAAGTTTTATACTTGATTCTAAGATGCGAATTAAATGATTGTCTTCGTTGATGCGAGTACTTTTCAGTTTTTGCAAGTATGCTTGTTGCTCAATTTCGATTCGTAGGTTCAAGGGAAATGGAGATATAATTTTATTCTTCCTTTATTATTATGTTCCTTGGACGTATTTTAGTTGTATTTCTCTATGGGTTAGTTGCCAATCCTTGATGATTTTGCATTTTTCTATACTTAAAGCCACGGAGTTCTTTGTAAAAGACATTTGGTTAACTACTTTGTCTTTCATTTTGGTAAAACATGCTTCTGTATTACCTTCGTTTTCTTCCTCGGGTCAAAATTTATGTTATATATAGTATCATGGACTCTCCATTTAAGTGAATGATATACTACTTTTAGATATGAGGTCTGAGACAGACCGATAAAAAATGCTTGCGGTTTTCTGGAGGTTAAATACCTTCGGATGGGTTATTTTTTATTAGTGTTGGAAACGCATGGCAGGGTAACATCTCACAGTTTAATGAATCTTCCACTTATTTGATGGTGTTGTTAAGAGAATCTATGGTTAAAACACTTCACCACTAATTGATGGGTATGACCCGTTTGGTATGAATAGTTTATTAGTCTTGGGCATGGATGTTCTTATTTGGACATCTTGTTTGGGCTACCGGATTTATGCTCTTAATTTCTTGGCGCGGATATTGGCAAGAATTGTTGGAAACTTTAACATGGGCTCATGAACACTCACCTTTAGCTAATTTGATTCTACGGAGAATTCCAGTATATTCTGCAAGCTTGGGATGAACATGGTTGACGAATACAATAGAGTTGCTTGAGTTGTTATGAATTATATTTCTGAAGTTCTCCACCTTATCGAGGAGCTTGCTCTCTAACACAATGCAAATATTCCAGGCACTGTGATCACAATAAAAACATGGACATGATTCTTTTTTCATCTTGAAGTTTAGACCCTGATTTTTTTTTCTTGTAACTTTGCATTTATGCTGTTGTGATCTTTAATATTTCCAAGATAGAACTATTAGCATGCTGGTTCCATTCAAAGCTGCATGTTTCTTATTTAACATATAGTTGATATGTGAGTTTAGGCAGTGGATCTGGTGGTTATCCATCTGAACCCCTCATGTTAATATCCTGTAAGAAAACAAAGTAAATGCTTAATTTGGATGCTGGCCTACAGAGCTTCTGTTACACATGTTGCTTGTTTTGGTAAATTACTATGCCAGAAATTAATAATGTGTTTTCTCCTGGTTGAGTCTTAGGCATACTTGATATTCTACTGTTAAATTTTTTGTGGTCCATGTTTATTCCTTTTATATTTCCTTACTTGCCTTTGATAAATGAAGGCATTGCAATTGATCAACATATATGTCTGGCAATATCTCTTTTGCAGGTTTGCTTCAGATTCAACCATAGTTCGCTATGCTAAGATCGCGAAGCAATTGAAGGATAAAACAGTTCGGGAGGTGGCATTGCTTTGTAGATGGATGTCTGTAAGTTGGTCATTTCAAATTGTATGTTTTAAAAGATTTGGGACCAATGAGGTTCTTGAAAATTGATTAAAGGATTTCTTGATTAGCCCATAAATTGTCCTTGTTGAGAGCAATTTACCTGGTTATAACTTGATTATTTTGTACCAAATGTTTCATTTTTCATTGGAGGCGTAACTTGGTTATTTTGGATCAAATGTTTCATTTTATGTGAACGTCAAGAGAAACTCTTGGGGTAAAGGGATGTATCTGTCCTGTTTTTACTGCAGGCAGAACCCAAAGTCTGATACGTTTGACATGTAGTCTTTACCATGATGTAGAGACAGGACTACTAGTAAGGAGGTGGGACCAACTTTAAGCTTATTGATGTCTATTAAACAATGTAAAAAAATGGTGCAAGGCGCCTTATTGAAGTGAGGCGCACTTTTTGAAATTAAAGATTTATTTACTAACATGCATATCTAACTTATTAAAATAGACAATTAATCCATATAATAGTTCAAAAAAAGCTCTCCATTTCATTATTTACCTTTAACTTTTCAATAAAAAAGCATATAGCTTTGCATTTTATCCTGCAATAGGAAGCATATACACTGTAAATAGATAAAATTCCTTATCTTAGGGATAATATAATGTAAAAGAAAAATAATTGTGCCTAAAATAAGAGGTTTTGTAAGCTTTCTAGTAAAAAAACAAAACCCTTATCTTCCTATTTTGGATTTTAATGGTAATGTAAGCCCTAGAGAGTGTTTCGTCTTTTGTAAAATCACATTTAGAAAAAAAAAAAATACAAACGACCAGCCTCTAAAAACCATAAAACCTTGTATTAATCTTCCAAATCATCGGTCACCATCTTGGTTATGTTCCACTTTCATGTGTTGGGTATGTTTTGTCCCATTTTGGGTATGTTTTCTTCCTCCATGTTTTAGTTTCATGTGTGGGTATGTTTGATCAATGGAAAGGTTTATCTATAACGTTGGAGCTTGGTTTTTAAGGGCGCAAAGCGCATCGAGGCACAAAAAGTCCTTGGAGCATAGGCGCAGGCACGCGCCTTTCCTATGCGAGGCACACCCTTTGTGCTATATGATATAAATCAAGTGTAAACTATATTTTGTACTTAAAATAACATGATAAATATTATTATAGTTCTTTAAAGTTCAAAATATTCAATATCATTGCCCAGTGGGTGGTGGTTGGTGCGACGGCCGGTGGTGGTACGATGGTCGGTGGAGAAGAGGAGCACGGTGATTGGAGTTTTAGAGAGAATAGTAGTTAGGGATTTTTTTTATTGTGAAGTGAGGTTCTGGAGAGGTTATTTTTTAGATATTAAAGGAAAATTATATATTTTAAATACCTTTTAAAATCAGTTTATCAAAAGCTCCAAGGTGTTGTGCCCGTCGCTTGACGCCTAAAGCTCATAGGCACGCGCCTCACAGTGCTTCCTGTAAAACGCCTCGCTCTGACCAAGGCGGGCGTTCTCTTCATTGCCTTGCGCCTAGGGTGCTTTTTTTGAAAACCCAGCATTGGAATTGAAGATCTAAAGAAAATAACTTTTCCTTTTCTTTTTTTTCCTTTTATCACTCCTATTTTAGACTCTTGGTCCACTTTCTGATGTTAAATATTGTTTTGTGTGTTCCATATGTGGCCCACAAGCAAACAGATAAAAGAAACAAAAAAAATTAAACTAAGCCCTAAAAGACAACGCCTCACAGTGCTATTTGTGTTTAAGACTGACTATGTTGGATTCCTTGTTTAGCTTATTAATACGCCTCAGAAAACTACTGTATGAGACAGGTTTTCAAAGCATTCTTATTTCTCTCCAGCTCTTCTTGATGGATGCATTGCCCTTTTCTTAGTTGTGTCAGAAAAAAGTTCTAGATTTCATTGGACAAAAGGTCTATAGCTAGTTTGGCTACTAGCATCACTCTCTTAAAAAAATTGTAGCTCCATTGTGCATTTGTGTATAGCATAATGTCTGCATAATGTGTCATATTCATTTTGCTTGTATTTGTAGTAAATATTCATATAAATGTACATTCTATTTGTTTGCCAAAAATCATCTAGTTGAATATGCTTGCAGAAAAAGGAAAATGGCAAATGAAGGAAAGAGGATCATAATTCAGCAAGGAAAAGTAAAGATAGAAGGGTATTTTTTTGGCTGAATCTTCATGCTAGCACAATTCATATGCGCAATGTACTTCTACAATGCTTTATATTTCATAATTGTTCCTTGAAGTATGTCTTAGAAGAAAGTTCTTTCCCTATGATCATTTCTTGGACAAAATTGCCTAGCCTGTTTGATATCTTTAGTGGTTATCTATGAACTCCAAATCAGTTTTCTGTGGTCACTGAGCTATTACCTGTGATTGAATATAGCATGTTTTTTCGGTTCTTGACATGACAATTGCTTCAAATGTGTACATATTTCTCACACCACTCCTGTGATTGTTACTTGCTCATCCTCCTCCTTTCCACATGCATATTGAAATTCGTGAAATAAGGGTCTGCCTGAAAAGATTCAAGCAGGAGGCAACCAGATAATAAATCATGGTTACATAACTAGGTGGTATATATAACACAATTATGTAATTGTCCACTGTGTCTCAGGTATTAACTATCAGATAAATAAAGCATGAAGTCTGAGGCATAACTAGATACTGTTAAAAATTGAAACTTGTGCAGAGAAGGGCTGCTCCGTAGCTCGTTCAACCTAAATAGATCTTTTGCATGAAATTCGACACTAATTCTTTTGAGGTTTTTTAAAGAAAATTATTGATTGTTTTGTGTGTTTGTCTCCATGCTGTAAGCCATTGTTCTTAAGTTCAGCTGGTAATGGAAGTGGGAGCGCTCTACCTTCCCATTAAAAGTTTCCCCAGCCCTCATGTTTATGCATTTCGTCTCTTTGCATCTTAGTTTTTTGTTAGGTAGGTTACTAAAGTTTTTGAAACCTCAAGTGTACAAGGAAATTGTTTCACAGGAAAAGGGTACAGACTCTTCGGCAAAGGCTACGCCCCATTTAACAGCTCGGCCTAATGGTCCTGCATATGCTGTACCAATGATCCCTATGGAAAACGATGATGGCATCCCATATGAAGGTTTGGTTGACATATATTAGGGTTGGCTTTATTGTTTTACCAATATAAAAATTACAGCTGGGCAGAAACTTTGAGCCGAACTTTTTACGCTCAATCAGCATAAAAAAGCCTTGTCTTTCTCTTAAAAAATTATTAAATTTCATCAAGCTTAAACTGGTGTAGCAATAGCATGGACATTAATTCTTAGCAACTGACAAGGGTTGATTACCACGTTGAGCCTAAACGTTACGGGTTTAAGATTTACCAACTGATTTTTTTTAGAAAAAAGGAAGATAGGAGTTAAGAGTGGAGCATATTTGAGATGCCAATATATTAAATTTTCTTTCTCTACACTTTTTTTCCTTGAATTTGAACTTTCTTTTCAGCCATTGGTGGTGTGACAGGAGAGCTGTTTGAACAAAATGCTCAAATGTTTAATCAGATTTCTTCAAATTTCGCAGCTTTCCAGATGAAGCCTATAGTTTCAAACTTCCCTTAAATTTTCCTCCATAATTTTGCATAAGATATTCTTCTGATCAATATTTTCAGTCATTGTTGGTTTTGATTGAAAGTGACAACATGATAAAATAATGATATGAGAGGAAAGAAAAGAAAAAATATGAAATCAACTTACTGAAATGAACTTAATCCCGATTAGCTAATGACTGCTTTATTGATTGGTGTTATTACTATCTGTTTTCCATGCAGGTACATGATAATATAAATCTCTTATGCAAGGCACGCGACAATATCCTCACGATCATGAACGAGTAGGTTATTATCTTAATGGTTTGATTTCTCTGTTATGTAAATTAGAGATTTTTTAATAAGGTTTTTAATTGCTGATAGGAGGACTTCATCATAATTGCATTTTTATCACATAAGTGCAAGTTTGTAAACACTCATATGTGGCAATGGGATAAAATTTTCTCTTAGAGTATTTTTAGTTGTTTCAGCTCCCCAGCTTCCTTTTGGTAGCTATTTTGCTTTACTGTGCATGCTACTTTATCATTATGCATTGATAAAATTTATTTACCTATCTTTAAAGGAGTAGCTGTTTTTCACCTTGTAATATGCTAAAGTTATATATCACCTGATGGTGATGCAAGATAGATTTGGCTTGTCATCTAATTATCATGCTATGGTTATCATCCTTAGTTATGTTTTTGCTGAGCAAAATTGACTGCTACTGATGTACGGATATTCAGATTTATCGTTATGTGAAGATTCTGAAACCAAAATTGATCAGCAAATCAAATATGTAGCCTTTCCGATCTTGATGTCTAAATGCCTGTGTCATTGTCATTAATATCTTGGATTCATGTTCTAACCCAGTAGGTTTGGCTTGTATCAGGCTGGGTTTGGACGAGATATTTCTCTAATTCAGGCAGATCTGGCTTGACCCAAATCAAAATTTTAATGAAAATACTAATACATTGTTGAACTTAATTATAAAATATATTATTTTATTATTGTTTAACAGTAGAATGGGTTATTCGGGGTGGGTCAGGTTTGACCCGTATGGTCTTAGGTAAAATTCTTGAAAATTTTCTGAGCTGCAGCACGACCTATGAACACCTCTACCAATAGCCATTAGGGTGATCAATTTTTCTCCCTATGTTGAATGGCTGAGTTAGAGTGAAATCTGATCCTTTGCTCATATTTTGGTTGACACCTACTGGGTCTGAAACTGCATAGATGATTAGTTATTGGAACAAGAATGAGGATGATGAACCTCGTCACTCGTCAGTAAGGACCATGGATCTCCATTTCTTCTATCTCAATCTGACCGGAGAGGAATGTTGGATAAAGATGATCCTGTTGTAGCTTCCTTATTTGATAGAGAGAACGATAAAAACTTCCATCCTTAATGAATGCATCATTTATCATCTTATTCGTATCGTGTAATTCTTTAATGTTGATGATTCTTTTTCTTGTGTTTTTTCTCCAGTTTGAATGACCTGCCAGAGGTAATGAAGCAAATGCCTCCGCTTCCGGTCAAGGTAAACGAAGAACTTGCCAACATCATCCTCCGTCATTCATCGCATCAGATGAAATCATGATTCGGAGGGGATTAACATATCCAACCATTTGTCTCAGAGCAGTGAATCAAATAAAATCTGAAAAATAAGGTAAAAAAACTGGTTACGTTATCAAGTCATTTTGTTAAATTAAAAGCAGTTTTCTTTGTGTTTACCCCCCATGATTTACGCCTTTGCTAAAGTTTTGATTAATTTTAGGAACTATTAGTCAATGTAGCATGTGAATATTTACTATTTAGTCCTTTATGCACTGTC